CCCTAAAGCTTTGGAAGGAAAATGGTTGAGTGCTCATATCAGACGGGGCTTGGAGGAGACGAAAAATGGCAATGGAATTGGTAACGTGATGAAAAATGGAGACAAGAGTGTCAATGGAAAATTAAACGGTGTTCATGGTGAGAAGTCAAATGGAGAAGTCAATGGAGAGGGGGGGATAAACGGACGACGTGGCGTCACGAGTAGGGAAATGAGCGGAGAGATGGGTGGAGATACTTTGTAGACTACCGGGGGGTGATTGAGAGGAGGTTTCCTTGCGTTCGAGTTTTTGATTTTTGACTTTTTAGTGTTTTGTCCTTCAACAGGATCATGCGAGTTTGGTATGTTGGGATTTAACATCCTGTTGGTATCACATCACACCATATTATATCGTCATACAACTACGTTGTTTAAAGCAAACTACACATTTGATTCTATTCTGCCTATCTATGTACTGTGATGCAACCCGAGTAAGTGTCCCTCATGAGGATGGAGATACAAAGCCCTAGTTCCACATCATGCCATTCAGTAGCCATATGAAAAGGCGAACCTAACTAAAATCAAAAATAATGTAATGCAAATGGTGTTGAAGTAAACCCTTCCTGTTTGAAAGCCTATTCGTCATCGTTCGTAAGTGAGTGTGGTCCAACTGGGCAGCAAGTAGCCATCCTTGTTTTCCCAAACCCTATGTCATCTGGTATATCAATTGTCAACAAAGTCTCAGATGAGAAACATATCGTTAAGTGTGCACCAGATGCTATGCGATCAAGCCCCACCTTGAAAGCCGTCAAATATCCACCACGACACCCGCCTAAAGTACTCATCTCAACTTCCGAAGCACAATCTCTCATAATCCTCCTGCATATTCTCCCACCTCCCCTACAAATCAAGTATCCATTCAAACATTAACCCCTTCCCAATTGAACAGACCAGATGTGAAAATCGAGTTGTCCATTTGTCCATATCATTATCTCACAACCCTGACCAACCAGGCAAGATGTGATTGAAAAAAAAGCACCAAAGAAAGCATGAAAAGGCAAAAACAAGCTTGTAAATATCGTCCCGAGTCATTGGCACATCTTTTCGTATCGTACAATCCATTATTATCCTCCAAACATATAAGCAAAGTACGGCATTGAGATGAAATTAAAACCATAACAAGTTGATCAACTCTGAAGATGGCTCATAGAAGCACAAGTGCTGCTAATTCTGAGTTAAAAGTCATCTAAGCAAGGCCGTCTACTATGTCAAAAAGAGAAATATCAAGAGCACGAGAAAACAGTCGCATCAGTAATGAATCAGGTAATAACGGCACAACTCCGAATCGAGAAAACTGCAAGGAAATCGTAGGGTCCACGGGTATCGTAACAACATGTAGACCGAACCTAGTAAAGGTATAGGAAATCGTGGTCGGATGAGTTCTAGTAATGTCTCATGCCGACATCATACATAGTTTCGTCCCATCTGAAAATCCTTGGTTAGCAAAAGAGATAAAATTCAAAACTCAATCAGATCACCATTGCCCACATCATCGTAAAATGTCTGGGGTGGAGAAGATTCTTGAACTGACTGTAATTCATCCAGATCCATCATCGAGTCATCTTGGTCCATTAGATTTCTAGGTTGAGCAGAAGCTCTTACCTCCAAACCTTCGACGCCAAAGGTTGGGGATGACTGACTCAACGAAATTGGCCTGGACGAGAGATTGATTAGAGGCAAAGAAGCCGACGATCTTGCTAATTCTCGTGGGCTCTGTGACAACTCTTCTGTCTCCGCTTCATATTCTTGACTTGGATTTGGTTCTTCTTCGTCAGAAGTAAGCAGTCCTTCCAAGAGCTCCTTATTTTCTTGATCGTCTGTCTTGCGCTTTTCTCGTGAAGCAAAAGTTGCTTTGTTGATATCTTTACTATCCTTGTGCTTGTGGCTGCGGTAGAGAATAGGTTCTGGGTCGGGGAAATATGGGAGACGCCTGCTTAGTTCTTCCAATCTTGCCTTGCTGGGAGATGGGTTCTTCTTCCACTTTCGATTGAGAGGAGCAAAGCCTGAATCACTTGTAGATCCGGATAGGGTTTGCACGGCAGCGACAAAGTTGTTGACTGTCTTCTCCCTTAACAATCCAACGTGCTGGACAAGATTGCGAAGGTGCTCAGGCTGAGCCTGATCTCTGGGTTTGATAGGACTACCCGCCAACATGCCTTGGTAAACTTCACTATCCTCGGCGAACGCGTTATGGTCGAGAACAGACGGTGAGCCTGCATCCACTTTGTACATTCTCCTAGTTCTGTCTGGATCAGTATGGTTACATACTAGCCGCAATCTTGGTGTCGATTGAGCTAAGGGACTAGACGTAAGTAGTGAGTCCAGATCATCGAAGTCTGTGTTGCTTTGATAGGCTGAAGACTTCTTATTTGTGCGATCGAGACTGGAGAATTCCGGCGCCGATCCAGTTTCAGGCATTTGGCTACCGAAGGTCGAAGGTTGAATAACTTGCCCACTTGAACTTGGTGACTCGGTAAATGGGTCTGTGAGTGCCGAATTCTGACTGTGGAAAGATCTTACATCACTGTTGAGTGGCTTCCTAGGGATTTTGAGATTCCCTGTCATCTTTTGAAGCTTTGAGTTTTCGTTCAAATTTTGCACTATTAGAGAAAATTAGTTTCGCCAATCTTGGATAAAACAGATCATCATTCAAACTACCTTCATTAAGTCCCAGGTCTGTGTCACTAAGTGGTTCCGGGCGTCTATCAGGATGTTCTTGGATTGTTGGTGAGTTGACGAAGGGTGGTTGAACCAAATAATTTTCTTGGCCATTATCATTCTTTCTGCGGCGAAAGCTTCCTTGTAATACATTTTTGACCTTAAGAAAAGCCCCGGCCTTTAATCTTCTCTTTTTTTCGACGACCAAAGTATTTGTTGATCCTGGCTTGAGTTCTTCCATTGCCTTGAATGTTTGCGCAACAGAAGCATTAATTACATTCGGATCAGAAGGACTGACAATTAAGCGTGATTGCTCGTCAAGGCCGCCCGATGTCCGAAGAATTGGTCCTTTTGGAAATCTTCGAGTTTGAGACTCCTTGGTTGGGCTCCTACGACGAGATGTCTTATTTAACGCGGATTGTCTCTTGGACGATTTTCTAGGAATAGGGGGCGCCGAACTCTTCCTTGAGTGTAATGAAGCTTTGGCGGTCCCATTAGAGAAGTCAGTATCGGCGACCGTGCTCTTGCCGGTGATACACATCTCATTTTCACTAAAATTGAGACTGGGCAATTGTGGTAGGGTGTTCTCGGTGGTTGTGGGCTTATCGCGTGGCTCATTAATGGCAATCTCATCTATCGATCCACCATCGTCTTCATTCGGGGCTTCTCTGACTGGTTGCTGTTCTTCAGTGCCGGCCGGAGAGTGAAAAGCCGCTAACTGGCGTGTGCTCGACTCTGTTGATAACTTTATATTAGCTTCACTTCCAAGTTGATGACATCTAAGGTAATTTGGGAAACACAGTGAGTCCGAATCGAACTAATGGACGGTTTGGATTGCCAAGCGTGGTTGGAGACGTGGTGAAACAATAAAAACATGAAGGTGGAGTACAGCCGTGTCAACGGATTGATATTTCAGGTGAGGAAATAGAACAATCACTTACCTCTCTTGCTAGCTCTATTCTTCTTTGCTTTGATTTGTTGATTGTTTCTAAGAGAAGCGAACGAGCCCATCAGAGCATTTTTCTTCTTCTTCCCATAAGTCTCCATGGTGGAGATTACGAGGTTTTGTTGTGGGCGAAAAATTGATCGTACACGGGATGCGATAAATTAAAGTCGGAAATGGTAGATAGAGGTGGTGACAGTGGTGGCTAGATACTGTTGATAGTGAATGATGTTAGCTAAGGCAAGATCGACGGGGCTTGAAATTGATGGCAGCGAAGGAAGGAGGGAATGGATGAAGGGGTAGCGTAAAGATTAATTAGGATCTGATGAACACCTTCAGAGATCCATTAATCGTGCAAATGTTGCTCATTGATTGTCAGCTTGAGAATGATGCTCGCTGAAAGTGCGGAGGAGAAAGCAAGATTTCGTTGGTTATAGGATCAAACGCTTAAAGACCCAAGGTCGAAGGACAAAAGCAACAATGATTGATTGTACGATACCATGGCAAGTATCTTATGCGCACAATACCGCAGAATCCGCTGATAACAATGGGGTTGTTCAAGTGAGGATGCAGAATGGAGGAGTAGGGGTGAGATTGAGGCGATCTTACCTCAAAAGAGTTGGGCGATTGCCTTTGATGGAAGCCGGAAAAATAGCACTTTCGTCTTATCAATTTAGTAGTAGATTTGGAAATGTGATAGCTTTGCTGCGCAGTTGACAATAAAAGTTGTGCTGAGAAGTTGATATGGTCATGGTGTAGGTTGGACGAGGCGAGGAGAATAATTTGACGGCGTGGGGTAAGGCGATTTTGACAACCAAGTAATGTAAACTAAGGTGCCCAGCCGGGTATGTGCCTGACGGGAATACTCAAGGGCAAAACTCAAATTTGACAGCAGTGAGGCCCGGGTAAGGGAATAGCAAAAAGAGTGTGCTCCAACCAAAAATATTACCTGCTTGAAGCCCCGATTAGATAAGAGTATTTTTACACTGTTCTATCAATAAAGAAAAGTGCAAGACGACCTGAGAAAGACGCCAACTTGGTTACAGTGCCAAAGAAAGTATACAGACACTAAGCGGAAAGCTCTCCAGAGCACTCTCGTTACTAGGCTGGCTTCCCCAAAACTATTGTTGAAGGGGGACCAAACCTTGGAAACAAAGCTACCTGTCTTGTTGTACCTATTTGGAGGATCAGCAGTATTCTGTTTTGTTTAGAACTAAGTGGAATCGACAACTAATAGAATTCCGTCTCGTTTTAGAGCACAAGAAAGGTTACACAGGTACCTCATACATCTACGGCAACAGCATCATCACTCCGAACCAGCTAAAGCAACTACCGTGTTCTTCAACACCCTTCCACAGAAGCTCTAAACAGGTTGAACAACGCCAGATCCTACAGCAGTAGCTTGGGTATTTATGATTAGCTGCGGAAACTCATAGTGGACACCCCTTGGCAGAATTAGGAGAAGACCGGAAGACTTCTGAAGCCACTGCAATATCCCTTTGAGTTGAACTGGCTGTAGTGATCGTTGGCATATCTCGTATCTCTCGGCAGAGCTTCGAAGAACACCGCGCAGCGTTTGAAGCCTTCCTAGGATCGGAGATTCTCTGTGGCAAAAGGGGATACCATCTACCGGCCCAAAGGCAATGGCAATGGCGCAAATTGAGATACATCGAGGCCTAGCCCCTCCTTCAAGTATCTGCATACTATATTATATGCGTTAATTGATACATAGCTAACCAAATTACCATACTATAGAGGAACGCTTATCGGCTACACATGTATTCCCATACCCTGTAGCAGCGGCAGAAGCTACACCCCCAGAGACAGCTTTGTTTCAAAGAGCAACAATCAGGTAGCAGGATATCCGGAAAGGCATTGCACCCTACAGCAACACTCTCAGGAGGAGCAATAGGTTCTTCATTGAAACACGATCAACAGCAATCGAATCAACAAATCTATATTTCTATACACCCATTTCTCTACATCGGCTTCTGATCCGTCATTTTCGACAACGACCGACTGGATCGTGCGGGCACTTCACGATGAAATAATCACACAATATTCACACAACCATCAAACATACAATCACACCATCATTTGCTTTTGTGGCTACTGCGCGCTTTCAAAACATCGGAGTGTTGCCAATATATCTTCAAGCTTTCCAAGACCCATTCGCGCTTCCAATCAGTATGAGATAACTAGCTAACACTCAAATTCTACCAGAAACCCTCCCTCACTCTACCCCGACTAGAGTTCATATTATATTTTGCATTAGAAGCAGGCTATCCAACGCCCACCAACCTTGAATCGTTGACAAAAACGTATCGGAAACCACCCAGCTTTTATGTTCCGCCGCGTATACAAGAAACCATCGAAATTCCTGGCACACAGTCTCATATAAGCGCATAACAAAGCAAGGATGTAATATCGGAAAGTTCTTATCTCGCTACCACACATACACCTGCGGCGAAATAACAAACAATCGTTAAGACTTTACACTTGAAAGGAGCTTTACACAAATTCAAGCACATTCATTTGCGTTGAAGGATAACACCAACATGGGATATATACAATGGATATTCTTTTTACGACCTCTCCTTTGAGACTTGGGTGTGGCACATGCGATACTTGTACTTGATTTATTCCAGTCCATTAGGCACAGCAGACATTACACAAACTCAACTAAGCACCAAAGCCAATTCATCATATTGTACAATTGAGGGACCACCTTTTTCTCCAGGCTTACAAATCTCTTGTAACTATTGGAAGGAACATGGGAAAAGCTCTTTAATGTTCAATCCCATCCAGAATTTTCCAAACCACAAGACCAGCCTGGTACACCCAACCCCATTGAAGAACTTCTCATGAGTAGAGACCAAGTGTAGTATTTATAAGAGTCATTCATAACTAACCAATTGACTAATGTTTTCTGCTAAAATTATCTTCAGGAAAAACTCGTCAGGCTTTGGACTAATGCATTCATGGATAGCAATTTACTACTCAAAGGACATGTGCTACTGTAGTACCACATATCTTGTCATGAAATAAACGTCCAATTACATCTGTCTTTCAGAGCTATTCACATCTAGACAATATGAATATTGTCATTGTTTGTGTTGGTTACTCGACCCCTGAATACGCGAGTTCTTCAATTCTGACCTGTAATTCGAAGAGACAGAAAGTAAGTGCTTGGACCAAGCTCTTCAGTTTTACACTTCAGTTGACCTGACCATTTACACAATATCTTTTGTGCCCTTGGCCAAAGGAAAATCTTGCAATCATTTACTGGATGATATACAAATTAAGTTATTGTTTACTTCTGTTCTACCTTTGTCTGTCTGTACTGCCATGCCAGTGTAAATGGCTAGTTACTAAACTATGATTTTCTGTCCCAACTTCTGTCTCAATTCACACGCAAACTTGCGAAAGAAGAATACTTAAGCATGTATTAATTTTGGTTTGTTGAGTTCTCCACATCAGACCATCATACTGTACAATGCCAAGTTGCAACTCTATGGCTTGATTTATTCAACCACCTTTTGGTGGTTGTAAACATCTCCATGTGGTACTTTTCAGAAATGTTCTCCTGCTCAATACTTTGAATCCGACAAGCATTAGAACCTTACACACAGAAACCTTACTCTTGGAATACACGTACCAGTCATGTTTCAACTGCTTGAAGTGAAGCTTCCAGAGCATTAACAAGTAATCATGTTAAGCTTTGATTAGGAGTAAGTGCTCTTGTACTAGGGAACATCAAACCTCTGTTCTTACCAGATTACCACCGCACAACTGGTACTATCAAACATGTTGCCAAGTGCCTGGCATTAATGGGCATGTCATTTTTTTAAAGCAGACACTAGAGCATATTATATGAGTGGCAGATACATCAAGAGAGTCGACAAACTAAAATTGGTACTCCGACGTTCACCAGAATTTAACAGAGTACTACACTAGCTATTGTCTGATCTGTGGGGAAAACAAGCAAATGATGGAGAAAAGCATTATTCTTTTGTTGCGCGGCTGGCATGTTGGCACATGGTTATCGTATTATTTCCATCTCAATGGTGTTCCAACGATTGCGCCATTTGAGCCATGCTCTCAGTACACATCCAGTAAGTGGGAGTGCTTACTCCGCCAAAGCTGCTCCGGTAATGTATCTCCGGAAACGATTTTCCGCGGAGACTTTCCAGACGTAGGAACAGGAGCACTCCTTAAGTGCTGACAACGCGCACAAGGGGCGTGCTGGCAAATACCATTGGCATGTGCTAAGCTGAAAGTATCTGGGGTTGATACCACGGCCGCCGAGCCAAGGCACAAGAAAATTGAAGGATGGGACCCGAGACTATCGAGCCATGTGGATGGGCTGTCCTCTCTTATATTGACGACGATTGATATGGCTAGGAAAGTGTACGAAATGTATGCGGAATGGCAGACCGGAGCTCGGAATGGTGGAATGGGGCATGTTGTTTTTGTGGATTGAGGTTGTTTTGATTTGTATTCGGCTTTGATTCGGATTGTTTGCACAAATGTGGTAATATTATTGTCATCATTACGGTGAACTATAAGGCAATCTACTACTTGGGTATTCTCGAGTCAGGTCTTGAGCTTTGAATGCCTTATTCTACCTTGGTACTATGTGCACTTATGACCTTGGACAGTAGAATTTCACCCCTTTCACGTTCATTTCTTAACAAATGCGATAATACAATAACAAGGAAGGAACCATCAAGTTTACTTCTTTCTTCCTCTATCCAATCGAAAACAACAGACAACATTTGTCATCTTAAAAAGTTGATTGAAAATCTGACCCGCTGTGAAAAGATCTACTCAGCTGCTCGGCCACCGTAGTTATCAGCTGAATCACCTTATCGATTATTGGATAACATCAACATGGATGTCATTATTGAATTGCCCACTGAGATGTTCGTGAAACACGGAGTGCCTAGTAATCATGTTCGGAATCTGTTCCATTTGAAAATTATTTCACACATGTCACCTCTTTATAAGATCTCCAGACACTTTCCTTTCGATTGATTATTCTCATGGGAAGTTTTTGATTCATTATCTTTGTTATAAACTTTTATCCAATCATAATTGTGGTATTCATATACCACACGATTTTACCCGACTCTGTAATTTTTTAACTTTCACATCTCGGTCTGCATCATAACCTCCGTCCTCCGCCACCTTCACACAGTTTATATCAACTTGGATCTGCACTTTTTAACATCGATCATTCCAACTCTTAATACATTCACAACCCTTCATTGTATACCCAACATGTCATTCTCTAGTCTCGTACAGGACTTGTCATTCAGAGATGCCGCCAGCGAGCGACGACCACCAATTCGAGGACCAGGATCCGTTTCGACTTACGATGATCGTGCTTCATATGTTTCCAGGGCCGACTCTCACGTCTCTAGAGCCAGATCGTACGCAAGTACCGCTGCGACTAGCGTGAGCATATCGGGAGATATTGGTAGTCAACTGCACGGTGGTTACTGTCATCCTTTGGCAAGATCATGGCAGGCTGAGAGACAATTGACCAAGGTAAGATTTGCATCACTATGTACATCTCTTTCAGCTTCTGACAATAATCGCAGTCAATGCTTATCTATCCCCTATTCATTTCCGACATTGATGACGAAGAAACTCTTATTCCTTCCCTACCCGATCAACACCGACGAGGCATCAACAAAGTTGTCCCATTTTTAGAACCTCTTATTCGCAAGGGTTTGAGATCTGTTATATTATTCGGTGTACCGATTGCGCCTAACGTCAAAGATGCTCTTGGAACAGCTGCAGATGACCCACAAGGTCCAGTCATTGCCACAATTCGACTCCTCCGTCAAAGATTCCCACAACTATTCATCGTTGCAGATGTCTGCCTTTGCGAATACACCTCCCATGGACATTGCGGTATCTTAAGGGATGATGGTAGTCTCAACAATCAATTGTCCGTTGATCGCGTTTCGGACGTCGCAATCGCATATGCTCAAGCTGGTGCTCATTGTGTAGCTCCTTCAGATATGAATGATGGTCGCATTCGTGCCATCAAGCTTAAATTGATCGAGGAGGGTATTGCACACAGAGTTGTCTTGATGTCATATGCTGCCAAGTTCTCTGGTTGTTTATATGGACCATTCCGTGATGCAGCTGGTTCCGTTCCTTCGTTTGGAGACCGAAAATGTTACCAATTACCACCGGGAGGTCGTGGTCTTGCTCGCAGAGCCATTGAAAGAGACATTGGTGAAGGTGCAGACATCATCATGGTTAAGCCAGCAAGTCAGTATCTTGACATTATCAGTGATGCAAAGGAAATTGGAAAGAATATGCCAGTTGCAGCATACCAAGTTAGTGGAGAATTTGCAATGATTCATGCTGGAGCAAAGGCTGGAGTTTTTGACTTGAAGACAATGGCGATTGAATCTTCTGAGGGTATTTTGAGAGCTGGTGCGACCATCATCGTCAGCTATTTCACACCACAATTCCTTGACTGGCTTGAGTCATAGACGGGGTTCATTATAGATTATGGGATCACTCGGCGCATTTGTCTAGGCTTGTAAACGGTGTTTGGGATACGACATTAATGAAGGGACTGGGAAATGGAGTTAGACAAAACTGCTGTCAAAATACCATGAATTTAATGCTACAATCAAGAATTCAACTTTACTACAACTCACTACAACTCACTGCATCACATCTTTAACCAATGTCCCCATTCTTAACTCTCGCTGTAGCGACTTGTGATTTTTATATACCATCAACCCTGTCAATCCCTTGGTTAGTGGGGTCCCCCTTCTTCCTCGGCCGATTGCGGGGATCCTTGATCGGTTAAAATGGTCCGGATGGAAGGGCTGCGTAGCTTTGTGCCGAAGACAGCCTCGTGAAGCTTGTGTGAAAGCTTCGAAGCTGTGAGTCAATCAAACCTTTAAATATCCAGATTCTTTGGGTCATGATCTTCAGCATCTTAACTTTATCTCCATTCACTCGTTCCGTATAAACTATAGAAATCCAACAATGAAGTGTTTTGCGCCCCGGCGCATTCCAAGTCGTTCGACTTTCTTTCTTGAAGATTGCGCATTGAATACAAACAAGACACTTTATCCTGCTACAACATATCGATTACGACTTTCGGGGGAAAGAAAAGAGAGGCGATATGCTTCATCTAATAAATCTTCGAGGCCGAAAACTGCGCTGTTCTTTCCTGGTATGATCGCATGATGCCGCATGTCTGTGGTGATGTTGGTTTGTTCGTATTCACTAACAATCGACAGGTCAAGGAGTTCAAAGAGTCGGAATGTTAACGCCATGGCTCGAAGCCTTCCCCTCTACCGCCGGCCCTATAGTCGAAGAAATTGATGATCTTCTGGGATATAAACTCTCATCCATAATAGCGAATGGGCCCAATAGTACCCTCACAGCTACGGGCAATGCGCAACCTGCGATCATGGCGTCTTCCATCTTGATTTTACGAGTTTTAGAACGCGAATTTGGCTTCAATACACACGAGCGAGTTGATTTTACATTGGGACATTCTTTGGGCGAATTTGCTGCGTTGGTTGTTGGGGGATATGTGGAGTTTGAAGATAGTTTGTACCTCGTGCGCAAACGGGCAGAAATCATGGCCGAATGTTCGCGGAGAGCAAGCGCAGAACATGGAGGTGAGTATGGGATGGTAGCTTTGGTTACGGAACCCGATCACCTCTCTTCTCTAATCGAAGCTATACACCAATTTCTAGGTCACATTTCTGCGGGTTCAAAGTCTGAAAGTGCGGAGGTCCCTCCTATTCAACAAGTGCTAATTGCGAACATGAACAGCAAGAATCAGATTGTCTTAAGCGGGAATATTGGGAGAATAAAGGAATTGTTGACGCATTTGAGACAATTTGGAGGCCATGATCCTAGGGCCGTTAGGTTAAAGAGTGATAGTCCTTTTCACAGTCCATTGATGAGGCCTGCGGCGAAGTCTATGTTGAAACTATTGGAGGGGAAGAGTAAGGTGAAGGGAAAAGAAGACAAGGACTTATTAATATTCCCTGGGACCATGGATTGCATAAGTAATGTCAGTGCAAGGCCGTTCCAAAGTAAAGAGGAACTGAAGGACCTGTGGTCGAGAAGTTGTGTTGAAACTGTCAGATGGTGGGATTCAATCAAATACTTGGACCAGGAGAAGAAAGTTCGGAGGTGGATTGGTATTGGTCCAGGGAAAGTTGGGAGAAATTTGGTAGGCAAAGAAGTTGGGATGAGGGGGATGGACACCTTAAAGGGAGGCGGAGTCTGGGGTATCAGTGACCCGAAAGAGATTGAGGAAGCTTTGAAAGCTTTGGATGAGACGGAATCCCTTGGTGTGGAGGAATTAAAGTGATCAGCTGTTCGCAATTCATGTTCCTTTCTTTTCCAGGGGATTCTTTAGGAGAGACCAAGCTGTCTATAATCTGTAAGAGGAAAGTATTGGAAAGATACAGAGATTCCGAAAAATCAATGGCGTGGAGGTGTTTTTCTGATATGAATGAGCGCTTTTGCACATCTTGGATGATAGGTCTCATGACGAGGCTACGAGGCTGGATGGATTGTACAATACCCAATAAGTACTGTTATGAATATTTATATATTATCAGAATCCCTTGAAGTTCTCCTCGTAAATCTGAACCCTATACTCAAAAAAATCAGCTGCAAATATATGTTGAAGTTCGACAATCTAAATATTTCTTGCTTCACTGTCGCGCGGACCATAGCCTTGCGAGTTCTCGGCAAACTACAATCACATTCGCATCGCAAATCGCATCGCAATACAACTTCATTCCCTAAAACCTATCAAAGTACCCGTGCTCTTCGTTCAATTTAAGGACAGATAGTGCAGAATCATATACCTTCAAACATGACAACAATTCCTTCAATAGCCTGTCTAGGCGTCATAGGCAAGAATGTACGTTGTCCAATCCCCCCTCTGTCTATCCTCTTCTTATTCTCCTTCCCACCACCCTCCAAATTTTATACGTCATGTACAAACAACTAACACGCCCAGAATAATCCCCTCCACATCTCCATCTTCCCACCTCACTCACCACCCTACCCAACATCCTCCTCTGCCTCCACCCCCACCAAATCTACACCTGCCGTCCACGAATCCCTCCGTACACCTCTCCAGTACTCGCTTCTGCTAAGTTCCACACTCGATATATTTGATTCGCGGAGTCGCATTTCGGGGAGCAATTTAACGGGGGACTTGGGGCTGCTGTACGCGGTTGATGAGAGGTTGGCGGCGTATGGGTTTGAGACGAATACGGGGGTTAGGTTTGTGGTTTTTGTGGATGGGAGGGGGAGGGTGGTGAGGAATATGGGGGGGAATGGGGGGAATGGGAATGCAGAGGGGGGTGTGGGGGGAGGAGGGGTGAGGGAGGGGGATATCAAGAGTGTGAGTTTTGAGTTTTGTTTTCTAGCTGATGGGGATGGGGAGAGGAATGGGAAGGATTCGGAAGAGAGTGCTAATGGTGCAAACAGATATTCAAAGCGATGCAAGCGGCATATATCCGGCTCCTACAAAACCCATTTTACGATCCAGATGAACATTGTCCAGTCAATGGGAAGGGCGGGAAGAAGATTGTTAGTAGGAAGTTTGTGGAGGATATGAGGAGGATTGGAGAGGGTTGGGTGCCGGGAAGTGTTTGATGGGCCTGCCGTGTGTTCGGGGAGGTTTAGGAGTGTTCAATGGGGAGGATAATATGGTATCGATAATATGGACATACGCACACAGAGAGGTGTAGAGGAGGCGAGAAAGATAATTGTATAGGAGCAAGCCTTGGAGTCGGGAGCTATTCACATTGAGACGGTTAGCATGGATGGAGTTTGGGAATTTTTTTGAGTATTGCTATACTAGCTGATATAAATTGATACTCTATAAATATCATAATTTTTGCTTATGAAGATCTTTTTTAAGGTCATGGATGGTAACCATCCAGATTCATTGTGAAAATATACATGATCTCTATATAAAGCTCAGCAAGCGCTTGAGCTTTTTCGTTTACGTATTTCTATATTCCTGAGCGGGCCCTTGAAAGAAACAGCGATTAGCTGAAGCCTGGATTAGCTTAGAGATTTCATTGTTTCCCAGATGTTTGAGGGAAGATAGTAGAATACTTTTTTGGTGGATCTCACACATTGGTCTGGCATACTATAAACAGAAAATTCTATTATGGTATTGCGCATCTATCTATTTCTATTAGCAATCAAGGCCTTCCCATGAAAGTAGAGTGTAGGTATTTAACGCAGATACAACAGGATGCACAACCGCCAAACCCAAAGCGGGAGATCCCCCCCCTAAAAAGTCTCATCTCTGTCGAGTACCTCAAGCCTCAATCTACCTGTCAGGTACAGGAGGAAACAACAAAAAACGTAATGGGCATCGTATCAATCCACATTTGAATAGCCAGAGCCACATTTGTCATCCGCACCTGACATTAACATAAAATTCGGTATTGGTCTGAGGTCAACAAGTCACCCAATGCCATGTGTATAGCAGTACGCCAGAGTTTAGAATCCTGCAAACCGCGTGAACATGCAACAGGAACCTCAGCAACTATTCGCTGATCGCTGAGTCCAAAAACTTTCGCTGCTACAACTTTGCCCCTTTATCATTATCGTTCCAGCCATATTCTCTCCACTTCCACTTGCTCTTCCACCTCCGATATCCCACTCCAGCCGAACAACCACAACCACAACCACAACCAAATTTCATTAGTACATCCTTACGAAAGGGAATTCTCCCACCTCCGTACATTAATTTGTGTGAGCAATCCTCTTTCCCCTTTCCCCTCACAATTCCATTCCCTACCACTACTCGCTCGTCCTCACCACTGTTGCATCCAAATCAGAACCATCTCTACAAGATCTAGATCTCGCTTATGTTTATTGTTCCAGGGAGGAGAAGAAGAATGCAGTTAAAAAGCACATACCAGTCAGTGCTTTACTACATATTGAGGATTTGAAAAGAAGTAGATAATACCGGTTTAAATCAATACCTGTCAACTTCTACTTTTTTGTAAGTGCTAGATGGGGACAATGCGGATTATAGTATGTATATATTTACCGTTTCGACTTTGGCGACGATGCATTTTGTTGCGTTTGTGTTATATACGCTGGGGGGAGAATCCTCAAGGACTATATCTATGAAGATGATTGAAAGTAAGAGTGCTCATGGGTAAGACAAGCTGGTGCTATCTCATATTTGGGACCCCGCCCATACATGAAGGGTTCTCTTATAGCAAGACTACAAAAATGTGTGTTCTTCCTTAAAATTGAAAAGGACAGTAGATAATGTCCAACATGTGACTTTAGTGGTGAAATCAAATTAGGGGCTAGCGAGATTGGAAAGATTTTGTGAAAATGAGCTCGAACGATAGTATGATACTCCAATAATTCGCAGATTGACACATAATTCAATGTGCAAGTTAAGATTTCATTTCATAGCATACTTTACTGAGTTGCTTCGTAAACATTGTGATGTGTTACCATCCTAAAACTTAAGTCAAAACCTTGAGCCATAGCTCGTAACAGCAAGCCATCATCGGCAACACCAAACACCTTCGTATACGCCAAGCAAAGGGAAGATCACTTAATGTGCTTTCAACCATGCCAAAATTTGATCGTACGCCTCCGCTTGTGCCTGCTTAATGTTCAATTGCTCGTAATCACCGAATACGGCGAATCCATGAGGAACTCCCGAATATGTCTTGAATTCATGTTCGATGTTATTCTCATTCAGGTATGTCTTTCCAACTTCTTGAACGTCATCGGAAAACAATTGATCATCCTCGACACAAACAAATGCCAATGGAACTTTGGTTCCTTCCCAATCCTCCTTGCCGACTAATGTTGCGTGAGCGATTGCGCCAGCTTTAATGTACGGTCCTTTCTTTTCAACGGCGGCTTCCTCATCTTTCGCCGGTTGCTGACCCCAGTGAACGGCGTCTGATTTCTCGCCTGCAAGTAACAGAGTCATTCTTCCACCTAAGCAATATCCAACAGAATAGATTCCTCCTCCATTCGCTACTGCATCTGCGAACTCGTCCTTTGCGGCATCGATGACTTTGTGGATAATCGGTAAAATCTTTTCGGGTGTTTGTCTTGCGAGCCACATATCTGCCAAGAAACTTTTTGCTGTCTCTGCGGCGTGCATCTTCAACTTCTCAATCAAAGAAGGATCCTTATCTTCAGCATAGGTCACGGAACCAGGTAATGGGTCGTTGTGGAACATATCGGGCATGATAACGAGGAAACCTTCTCCAGCGAATTTATCGGCTTGAATCTGATTATTGACCGAATGCATGCCTGTAGCGCCCGTAAGAAGTAGTAAGAGTTTCGATGGCGCATGAGGATATTCGCTGGGCTTGGAAATGTAAACGTCGACCCCTCCAAGTTGTGTAGTTTCTCCAGATGAACCTTGCCCGGCAGCTATTTTCGTCAGTAATTGATTTCTGCAGTTTCTAGAAGATGCAGAATCAATGCGCAAGAGTACTAACGTGTTGGCCTATCCTTTACACAATGCTCCTTGTAAAAGTTAGTAATATTCTTCCCATTCAGTGTCTCAAAGACGTACACCCAAACTCGCACCGCTTTGCGCTGGAGTATCTCCTGGAATTGGGCTTGGTTCGACTTGAGGAACCTCTTTTGAGTCCTCCATAGCATCGCTCTCTGGAGCTCTGGTAGCGGTCTCTTCAGCCATATTGTATGTAGTTCTGGATGTTTGCAAGTTAATGTTGTTCTGTCAACAAGGAAATGAATGGATGATATTTGGGCACTGAAGCTTGGCGGCGGGCGGGAGGCCACGTGAAGAGGGGCGGATGATGAAGAGCGGGGAGGCTTCGTGTTAGCGTGATATAATTAGGCTGCTAGCGCGGCGAAGCACGTTCCAAGACGCGTGAAATTCTAAAATCAATTTACACGAACCGCGACTCATCATCAGTAAGGAAAAGTTGACAAGTCAATAAATCAAATACTTGGTATACATTTATTTTCAGTAGATCCAAGAATAATAAAGTCGTTGATAATAATGGAAGTTGCAAAAGCTCAAATTACTCAAGGTGCATTGAAGTGAGTATTACATTCATTCAAATCGTCTTTCCATTGCTAACTCTTGGAAGTGCTATCTTCAATGACACTGATCGAGTAATAAAAGACTTCCCGGTACCAGTATGCCAGGTAGTACAAGTCAAACCTATGGGTGCGGGTGTAGATGGACAAGCTGAAAGATTCAGACTTGTCGTGAGCGACATCCAAAACTTTGTACAGTGCATGCTTGCCACTCGTAAGTAGAACTCGTGCTCTTTTACTTAAACTCTGCGAGAGTCATTTGACTGATGGCGGATTAGAGGCAAACCATGTTATACACGACGGAAAGTTGACAAAAGGCTGCTTCATTCGTCTGAAGAACTATCAGGCGAATGAAGTGAAAGGAAAAAGGTTAGTAGACTTAGATTCCCTAACAAGAGGTCGGTGCCTAATGCTGCTCTTAGAATTCTGATTATCCTCGATATCGATGTCATCGAAAGCCTGGGCACTATGGAAAAGATTGGAGAACCAACCGCGGTCAAGGTCGAGGAGGACGTTAAGCCAACAAATACTAGCATTGCCGGAAGTGGTTTCTACGGAAACAAACCCCAACCTCAACAACCTGCAGCCCAAGATCGTGCACTCCCATCCCGCAACGGACCCTCTAGCTCCTCATCACACGCCACTATATATCCCATTGAGTCTTTGTCGCCATATGCCCACAAATGGACAATCAAAGCAAGAGTTACAAGCAAGTCAGATATCAGAACATGGTCCAAGCCGAATAGTGAAGGAAAGCTCTTCAGCGTGAATCTTCTCGATGACAGTGGCGAGATCAAGGCTACGGGCTTCAACGAGCAGTGCGATGCTTTATATGAGATTTTCCAGGAAGGTAGCGTCTATTATATCACGAGTCCATGTCGTGTTCAAATCGCCAAGAAGCAATTCTCCAACATAAATAATGATTACGAGCTTATGTTCGAACGAGATACCCTGGTAGAGAAAGCCGAAGACCAAGATAATGTCCCTCAAGTACGATATAACTTTTCCAACATTGGAGAATTACAGTCTATTGAAAAAGACAGCACAGTTGATCTCATTGCTGTGCTCAAGGAAGTTGGAGAGATCTCAGAAATTACGTCGAAGACGACCAGCAAACCCTACAGCAAAAGAGAGTTAACATTGGTTGACGAGACTGGATATTCTGTACGATTGACAATATGGGGCAAGACAGCAACCTCTTTTGATGCCAGTCCAGAGGCGGTTGTGGCTTTCAAGGGCGTCAAAGTTTCCGATTTCGGTGGTAGAAGTCTGAGTTTGTTATCTTCTGGCTCTATGTCCTTTGACCCAGATATCCAAGAAGCACACAGACTCAAGGGGTGGTATGACTCCCAAGGTCGTACTTCTAACTTTGCTTCTCATAGCAATTTGGCCAGCGCTGGAGCAGCAGGAGGCCGCCAAGATCCCGTCAAGACCATTGCTCAAGTCAAGGATGAGGGTCTTGGAATGTCTGAGGAGAACACAGACTACTTCTCTTCTAGAGCCACCATCGTCTACATCAAACAAGACAACTTCTGCTACCCAGCCTGTCTCAACGAGAACTGCAACAAGAAAGTCGTTGACCAAAATGATGGCACCTGGCGTTGCGAGAAATGTAACCAAAGCCACCCTAAACCCGAATATCGCTATATTCTCGCCTTGAATGTCAACGATCATACCGGTCAAATGTGGCTAACGGCCTTTGACGAAGTGGGAAAGCTAGTCATTGGAAAGAGTGCAGATGAGCTGATGGAGATGAAAGAAAATGATCCACCAGCTATGGAGAGAGTGTTTGAGGATGCAAATTGCAAGATGATGACATTCAAGGTTCGATGCAAAACTGACACTTATCAAGATCAAGCAAGGTATGTCAATTCTGATCCCACACATATTAGTATTGTGGATATGCGACTAATTATTACCATAGGGTCCGATATTCGGTCATTTCAGCCTCAGCTGTAAATTACGCTGCTGATGCTCTGAAGTTGGCGGAGTTGATCAAGGCGTACAACATTGATTAGATGTGTATAACTTGACATGTAGTGTTTATGGTTTGAGAAGAATAATGATGGCGTGGGAGAGGCAAGAGCCTTTTTATCAATGACCATGATGAGTTTGATGATGGTACTTCACACTGTTTGGCGTTGCGTAGTCAATGCTAGTGTCATTTTCAATTTCATGATAGAGATTTGCACGAAGAATATGAAAGTATTACCACAACCAATGCATGCTTATTTGCATTCTTACTTGTTTAGGATTCATAGATTCATTTTCTCTACTTCATAGATTCATTCCTATCATATCTTCATAATACGCCACCTGCCCATACGCCACTGCTTCCGATTTCTTCGAAAGACTTTACTGTGTATTACAACCCGTTCATTGCCCAGAGCAAACATCGCTTTTTGCGATTGATCCATACCACGTCTTCCTAGAGAAAGAAACCAATGCCCACTTCGTCATGAACCACTAAATATTCCCGCTACACCTGAATTAAACTAACTATGTCTCCATCATTATGTCCTCGTCCTCAATTATAGAGTTCCAGTCCAAGGGCTCTGCTGTTCCACCAGCGTTGGCAGCATTTTTCAGCTTCAACTGAGCCTTCTGAGCACTGTCAATATATCGCTTGTCATGTGTCAAAACTCTATCCGTAACTTTGATTTGTTTGGCTAATGATTGGATACGTCGAGTCGATGCCACTAAATCATTTTGAACTTGGGTTTCCGAAAGGACTGGACCGGTTGGCGAGAACGTAACAACTGCATGGCCAGATTGATCTCGAATCATAGTTGCAGGTAAAGTGCCTTCGGCGATCATGCTCTGTACAAGATCTTCAATCTGTTTGATTGAAGTTAACTTTGCACCAGTTTCTGCGCTCATCGTAAGACCCATGATATCCGCAGCTCCAATTTTTGAATAGACGTTGGCAAGATTACGGATCTGAAACTTTTGATAAGCAGCCAGAACACAGCAAATTAACCCGAAATTAGCATCGTCAGACCATATCTGTCGACCGAATTCGGCCTCGCTCTTTAATCGTGCCGCTGATCCAGTTTCAAAGATACCGGCAATAGCTTCGTATGGTTTTGCAATAATGTGGAATGCTTTAGCGGCGGCCGGGGAAGTGGTCTTTGGAAGTTGAAGGACCTTTCCATATTGAAGAAGTCCAACGAGTAACCATTTTTTGTATGCCTCAACCATGACAAGGCTCACGCTATTATCATTTGATGGATATATTATAGCATTCTCCAACATCTCCAATGCAGCGTCCCATCTCTGTAAACCAATATAGATTGATCCACTGTAATAGAAATACTCTAGTATCTCGAGAGGATTTAGTTTGGTGGAAAAGTTCGATTTGATCGTCACATAGGATTGTGCCGGTAGGTCGGCTTCGCAAAGATAACGTGTGTATGAAACTGGTTGCTTGGCAGGTATATAAAGGATGGGTTTGTCAATAAGTTCTGTAATGGCAGCGAAGTAACGTGTTTGGAGAGCCAACCGGACAAGATATATATGGTTTGAGGTAAGGACCGATCCTGAGGGGTCGATTCGAAGTATTGCTTCTCTAATTGGGGGAATGGCAGCACCTGGCTATGTAGACTTTAGTATTATTTTCTTCCATGAAACAAGATATATTTCTACGCACCTGACGTTGTTCCGAAGCAACTTGCGCTACAAATTCCATGACATCTTGTATCTCTTTGCCAAGGTATCGGATCTGCCTTTTATCGAAACTATGTAAAAAGGCTGTCGCCTTCTCCCATAAGTCATTGACGTTGACTCCCTTCTCGCCTCTATGGGCCGCAGCGATGTGGGCTCTTAGAATGTAGATGTATGGAACTGTATTTAATGAGGGGTTGATCACCTATCACAAACTTATTAGCTCTTGTCCGTCCACAATTTCAATAATTCTGCGCACATCTAAAGGACTTTCATCACCTGCAGTCGGCTGTAACAATGTCTTCTCGGAGGTCTTCTTTAAACTGTCGATTTGTGATGTGATGCCAGTATCATATTGCAAATCCGTGAGAGGTACCAAGGGCGCTGGATGGGGAGGAAATAAAAGCATGCGGGAGAGGAAATTGTCCATCTTGAAGGTAGAGTATGCGACCAGATAATGAGCGTTTGTGGGAAGTCACTCAATCGATTACTAGGTACACAGCTTTTAAGGACTTGAGCTGGTCTCGGATAGATGCCGTGTGGAATAGACGAGGTAATCTCAAACTTAACTCCAGGAATGTCAAAGGTAGCTTCAGTATACTATCTTTGAATCCCAATTCTATTGATATCAGGCGAATCGATTCGAGAAACGAAGTTGTGAGAGGCTACGATGTTGCCTTGGAGCTACAGAGCTCCCACTTGTTTGTGGGGTTGGTACCCGCTAGCGGCCGTATACTCCGGTCACAATCACGTGCTGTCAAAATTTCCAGAAATCAGTCATCGCACTGAGGGTGGAACAAGGGCATTCATTATTTGTTATCAAGACTTTTTCGGGTGAATCTATAGCACGTTCTTGTACCGTTAACAAAGCTAAAGTGTTCGTAACCTCGACTTACCTCTTCTAAAGTCCTTCGTCCTTTTTTTTAACCCGAATTCTGCAAATACCCATGTCTCTCACAAACGCAACCCCAGCAGAAGCTGCGAGCGGGGCTAAGACTGCTTCTCACGTTCTAGCTACACTTCCAACAGCCTCTAGAAATGCAGCTCTAACGTCTATTCATGATGCACTTCTACAAAACAAAGCAGATATACTAGCAGCCAATGCCCGAGATCTTGAATTGGCTCGAAAAGAAGCCAAAAGTGGTCGTTTAAGCTTAAGTATAGTATCGAGGCTGGATTTGGGAAAGAAGGGAAAATACGAGGATATGTTGAAGGGAATTCTGGATGTCAGAGATCTTGACGACCCTGGTATTGACAAATTTCCCCATAAGGTGAATGATGGCTGATCACTTCATACAGTTGGAAAAGTTACATTGCGAACGAGGCTTGATGATGGTCTAGACCTCGAGCGAGTGTCGTGCCCCATTGGAGTCCTTCTGATTATCTTTGAAGCACGTCCAGAAGTCATCGCAAACATTGCTTCGTTAGCAATTAAATCCGGAAACGCCGCTATCTTGAAGGGTACGATAAAACATTCATGTCGTCGTTCAAATGAAAGCTAATGTTTTACAGGTGGAAAAGAATCTACCGAATCTTTCATTGCTATCTCTACGGTAATCTCAGCGGCTTTACAATCCACAGAAGTCCCTGCAGCTGCGATCCAATTAGTTACTACCCGGGATGTAATTCCTCAATTATTGGCATTGGACCAATATATTGATCTCGTTATCCCAAGAGGTTCGAACGAATTGGTCAGATATATCAAGGAAAATACCAAAATTCCAGTGATGGGTCACGCAGATGGCCTTTGCTCGATATATCTTGAGAAAACGGCCGACCCAGCAATGGCAACAAGGGTTATCGTTGATTCAAAAACTTCATATCCAGCCGCATGCAATAGCGTGGAGACTTTACTCGTTGAGCAAGCAGCTCTCGAGACAATTCTTCCTAAAGTTGCAGAAGCACTATTAGAGAAGGGTGTTTCTCTACTATGTGATGCTTCGAGTAAATCAGCTCTTACATCAAGACTTCCCTCTAATCAAGCAGTCTTGCTCGAAGATGCAGTTGAAAGTGATTTTGACACGGAGCATTTATCCCTTGTTCTTGCCATCAAGACTGTTTCTAATCTCGACGAAGTTATTTCACATATCAATATTCATGGTTCTCATCACACAGATGTGATACTCACGTCATCTTCTGATCTCGCCGAGCGATTTATGGCTGGTGTTGACTCAGCAGGAGTTTTCTGGAATACGTCCAGTCGCATGGCCGATGGGATGCGCTTTGGCTTCGGTACCGAAGTAGGAATATCAACAAACAAGATCCATGCACGGGGACCAGTCGGTTTGGAAGGTCTTATGATCTACAAATATAAAATTCGCGGAAACGGTCAAATGTCCGTTGAATATGGTGAGGGAGAGGGTCAAAAAAGGTTTAAGCATGAAAATCTCTTGATATAGTTTTCTCATCGCATCATAAAAGACACTCATGTTTTCAAATCCAGGCGTATATCTTTCTTGACGCATTCACGTCGTGTTCAATTTTTGATTGTTGATACTTGAGGTGTCTGAGAAACTTGAGACGAGCCCATATACATGGATTTGATCTGTTGAACGCGTGATTGTGTGCGTCTCTTCTCTTCGCCTTTTTAAACCTCCAAGAATTTGACCCAAACACCGTGTCCCCACTTATCCTGTCACGGTCCCAGCTTCCTCTCATCTCTTGGCGTATCTATCGGTACTACCTTCCCAAACCTGCCAATATCTTGGCTTTCGTCTTGAAAAGTCCATATTGTTTCTAGGATCTCCTCTTAAGCTTTATGCAATTTTCTCTCAATTCTTCCAAGTGGATTGACTGGTGGATACATTCTCGCTACGCATGTGCATGCTCGGTAACTTAAAACGAACGACCCCTGAAGCCCCTTGACACAAACCATGTAACAAGATCAATGTTACCCAATAACACTCAATTCTTGGGATGACGTTTTGATGTTTCCCATATCTTTTTCCTGTGGTCAACCTTTTCTATCTGTGTATTTGAGATATGTGAAATCTGAAAATATGGGGATATTAATCTGTTTGTCACTTATAAGGCATCGTGCGTTACTGGTCGCTCACTTGGCGTTTAAGCTTAGAGAGAAAGATTGTTTAAAATCTGAGCTTCTCCCGTGGATTTTGGAAGGCTACGGCCGGCCGCGGATTACTTCAGGAAAGAGTCTTAGATATTTTCGATTCAATTAAGTTGTAATATTTTTTTAAAGGAAATTATTTGAAAAGAAAAGGTTATCGAAAGAAAATGTTGTTTTCTAATTTATTTATGATGGCGGGATTGGGGGCCGTTGTGTCTGCGAGGGCAGTTGAGAAGAATGAACGTAAGTAGTTGGCGAATTTCTGTTCAGTCCAGCTTCTCTTCAATTGATAATTCCTGGGACTTTTCTCCCATTTACAAGACATCAACAGTATAACCAGAAGTTAACAAATTTATTTAGGATCATTTCAACGACCTATAATTGACCCCTCATTACCTCGTCCAACTCCCTCCTCACCTCAATCCTGCATTTTTATGCCATCTCTCCCGATGCCACCTGTCTCCTTCACATCCACTCTACCCACATCTCTTCATCATCACCTCCCGAATGTCCTCCTCTCTCACTCATTCTTCAACTCAAACCTACCAACTTCTTCTGGCTCCACCGCCCCGATGATCTCGACCCTTTCTCTCTCAGAAGTAACTGGCGATGCTTCTCTTCAAGGGATTTTCCTCGGCCTCGTCTACACTTCCATCGACAAATCCACCTCTGAGCCTCCTTTAGACTCTCTTCCCAAATCTCCAGTATCGAAACCAAAAGTAAAACCTCATTGCCGTCCTCAATTTCCCAAACCTAAAGTGGATGAACAAGACGATTTCGATAAATCATGGGGCCATATTAATAATCACGAGATTCGATCGCCGATTTTGTCAGTACCACAGTCAAGCCCGTCTACAGAGATGAGAAGATGTTTTACAGAGGCAGTGGAAGGAGTTAGGGAGAGTGGACTAGTGGAGGGGACGCTGAAGTTTCCTAAAGAGGGGGGTAAATTACGATTTTTGATTTGGAGGGTCGATTGAATGGTATAGGTTGGGTTGAGAATATTTCAATCTGGTGGGGGGTTTTTTTTATGAACAGAGGATATGGCGAATGGATTCGGGACTAGAGAATCGAATGTTAAAGGTGTTCAGGGCTGGATTGGAGTTCGGGCATTCATGTTGTACTTTTCATTTTGATATACATGATGTGTATGAGACAAAAAGAGATAAAGTAGGATGGACAATTTTGTGCGATTATCAAGCACCTCGAATAACTGCTGGGAAATGAATTGCCTCATGGGCTTTGCACAAACTCTTATCAGGCATACAGATTGTTTCAAAGAAAGATACAAATGAATTTCACATTGTACCGCAAAGGGACAACAGTCCAAGCCCTCACTTCCAATGAGTTTCCTTCAATAGTTTACAAGTGAATATATACATGTGGTTAGTAACCGGCAGTACTTGTCTCGGTTCTCTTTTCTCAAGTTGAGAGAAAGTAGAAGGGTGTAGATAGATCAAAACGAACGAGGAATACATCAATTTCTGATTACACCGCCCAATTGGAATGGATTTTTAGCATTTACAGATAAAGCCGCGAAGCTATTTTTTGAACAAATACATCCACTAGTTCTGTATTATTTTCTCTTTCGCTACTCGCCTAAAATCCACTCGCTGCTTGCAATCCTCGAATATCTCATTCTTCATTCTATAGATGTGCTATGTGGTGTTTGTTTGAGAATAGAATACAAGAATAAAGGGCGAAAAAATCAGGACTGAGATTAGGATAGAAGTAAAGCAATGAGTCTTGCTTGTCAAGAATCTCTACCCGGAAGGCTTCTTGACTCGGTGACGTAGCAGAAATTGAACAAGCTTGTACTCGCTTCGTCAAATAATGCCGGGGTTTGATTTACTTTGCGAATCCTTAGAGCCCGCAACGAGATTCAATAATGACAACTACATGCAAATTTTCATTGCCTAAATTGAAATAATGCCATCATTTTCACCATCATCCAACATCATCGCCGTCTATCTCAATCCAATAGCACGTTCTCCATTGTCACGCCCCTCTCCACACAATTCAATCCAGTACCCCTTCTGTCTCGATGCTTAAACTTTCGATCAGATGCATGGCATTCACACTCAAGAGCAAAAGAATTCCTCTGTGATAAGTTGAAGGAATTAGAAGTATTCCTATCTAATCTAATAACTAATTTCATAAACCTCCCATATTCTTGAGGAACGGATACCGATTATACGGACTATTACCTACAGAACTTTGTAAGAATGAGGGAGTCGGAGGACATGTATTGATTTCCTCTCAATATCTTCCAACTAAAAGTCTGTTCCGATATCGAAACTGGCCGTTAGTTTGGTTTAGATGAAGGATGCCACTTCTGTATGTTGGTAGTTGTGGTCGGTGGTGCAGGGTGCTGGATATTAAATGCTGTACAATTGAACGAAGAGCGGTTCAAACAAAAATAGAAAAAAGAGGCAAAGAGTGGATATTCTTCATGAAAGGAGATGAACAAAAAGAATTTTTAACAAAAATAAGCTTGTAAACCTTCCTGCTTCCCCTTTTGTCTCTCAAAAGACGAGGATTCCATCAGTGAGTGTATCTCCATTCCACACATTTTCAAGCACATCGTGTACCCCATACCGCGTACGCTCTTCCCTCTTCCCTCTTCCCCTCAAATGCCAATAAACCCAACCTCCCTTTCTACTCATTCCCACTCACTTCTTGATCTCTAATCCACATATCCCGCCGGAAAAAAAATCAGGAAATTCTCACTTAAGGCCCCCTATTCACTAGAATTTCTCACGCTTAGAAGTTCGAACCAAACCCCCGATACTCGAGTACGATTCTACTCCCTTCCCTTTTCCACTTTCTCGATGTAATATCAAATATCAATCCCCCCCAACAGAAACCCCATACAATATCTGAAAAAAAAAACCAGAATTCACCTCCCAGATCTTTAAGAACAAAGACCTAGGTCCATCTCGAGAGACGATTTCAAGCCCAAGTAGGTAGGTATATATATGAAGAATAGACCATAGAAGCGAACCCCTACATTTTCACCAAGCGCAAGTAAAGATACCATCAGGATGTGTAGATATATTCCCGAATGCAAGTGCTATAGTAACAGTAGCTCCGAGAATTGTCTGGAAATGAGGAAATGAGTAAATGAGTAAAGAATAATGTCATGGAGAAATCATCATACTCATATATCTATCTATCTATCTGTCTATGCGTTGACATTTCTTTTTCTATAAGAATCACATTCACGAGTCAAAATTATTGAAATTATAAAAAAATACAATACAATGAAATACAATGCAATACAATAAAATAAATCCCCCCCCCCCCATAAATCTTAGACCTAAATCACCTAGCTACCCAATCACACTATCGAGTTCCGACAAAATTCCAAATCCAGATTCACACACACACACTCGCTGCAACTCAATACTTCTATCTATTCATCTTTCCACATACATCCAGATCAACCAATCTCCAGTTGATATAAACAATCCTTACTCGCACCATCAATCAAATACATCCCACATCCCACATCCCACATCCCACATCCCACATCCCACATCCCACATCCCACATCCCACATCACACATCACACATCACACATCCTCACAATTCCTCTGGGGAAAAAAATTCATCAACAACTTTTAAATTTTTGTATCTTGTTCAGTTCAGTTCCAGTTGAATTCCAATAACACCCCCGAACCCATCCAATCATCCATCCATTCATACCATCCATCCATCCATCCATCTTCATCATAAAGTCATATCATTCAACCATTCCCATTCCTTCATTCCAATCACCCTTAACCCATTTGCGTTCAGAATTAGTTACAAAACATTCAAGCTTCGCAACTTTTCCACACATTCCATTGATATGACATTCATCCATTGGGATAACCATCCGCATATGGTAGAATCCATTTCATTCCCCTCCCCATCAAGCCCAAGAAAACTCACAACTGCAACAACTGACAAGATAAGTAAGGAAATGGTCATAAATCATAATAATAATGTGTGTAAACGTTAAGCTCAAGAAGAGCTCAACAAAAAGCAAAGAAACCAGAAGTCGGTCCAGGAAAGAAAAGCCGAAAACATTAAACAAAATTATTATCTGTTCAGTGGTCCAGTTTTTCCTTCTCTATTCATCCTTCCCGACATCATAAGAAAAATATTGAGACAGGTTCCTCGGTGCTGTAGATATCGAATAGAAAAATGGCCCCATTCATTATTTTGGTCGTCCGTCTGAACGAAAACAAATCATTTAAGCCTTTCCCATGAACGAAAAACACAAAAAGCCCAAATCCCAAATATTTCATGTCGACGCCTAGAGTGTCATTAATAGGCGTGTTTTGTTTTTTTGTTCTCGATTGTAAAATGAAAACCCCCAAGTAAATAAATCCCGCTTGCATGTGTATATCTTTGGGATCATTTCTCAACAGATTATTTCCTCTCCCATGTTTGCATAGCGTAAATTCGTTAAAGCCGTTTCGATGATCCACATTAGGGTCATCTAAAAATTTCAGTCATAAACTCGTCGTCATTCCAGGTTCAAATAATTTGCTGAATCTATGTTCGGCGAATACAAAGACAATCGTGAAGATAAAAAGGAAATTTTCTTTCAAAGAGTGGACTTGTGATTGTCGAGAATGCTTTTGTGGCGCGAGCCAAGAATAAAAAAAACAGTAGATCATGATGAGAAAAAATCAGATCACTGGAAGAAAGTGCAAAAATTTGCGTTCAAAATCATCGATTCGAGTTACCGGCGTCTTTGAGCAATGGTGGATTGAGCTCGGTTGAGTCCTGGATTGTAAGATGGTCCAGAAACCGAACCTTCACGGATCGTTTTCCGTCTCTTCAAACCATCAGCATCGGCCATTCCTGGACCTCTACTTGATGGTCGACCATCATCATCATCATCTCTGCCACGCTTGTTACTCCCAGGGGCACCATTCATGATGTTTTGCTGTCCGGCATAACCATTAGACATTGAAGCTCCAAGATCTGATTGTGGTGCGTAAACGTCACCACCTGTGCTGCCATTAGCTGTACCACGTTCTTGACTGACTACATTATACAAATTACTCGAGGGTGGTTGGATTCGCGGAGGTGTACTGTAACCACCTTGCTGTTGAGCATAGTATGTTTGTGGTGCTGACGCCGTTCTAGGAGTGGCTCGTCCGGAAGCTGGATTATTTGGTGAGCCAGTCATCTCTGGTGACAAATGGGTGTGTTCACCTGTTATTGATCCTACGGCTGGGCCATTCGAGTAATTGTATGGCCGACGACTTGAATCGTAATTACCCTGGCTGTCATGAGTGTATTCACCGCCATCATGATCTTGATCATGTTCTTCCTCAACTTGACCATTTCCTTGGTGATGAATCATTCCGTTTGAATCCTTTGGTTCATGATGTTGGGGCTCAGCATCTGGTGCTCTCGCCAATGGTGGACCCATTTCATTCTTGATGTATGAATTTGGCTGTTGCGAGTATTGAGGCATGCTTTGTTGGGGCGGCGGAGCTTGGGCGTAAGCATTCTGTGGCGGGGGTGCTTGGGAGTACATTTGTCTCGAGTCGTAAGGTTGTTGAGTTTGTTGATATTGTTGCATCGATTGAACCGCAGTCCCGGGAGGAGTGGTAGCTGGAGTTGTTGGCATTGAGCGAGCATTACTTAATCCAGTGTCGATTGACAGGGGATTGGTACCTTGCACATTGCCCATGGATTGCCCAGGCCACTGGAAATTGCCGTTAGAATTATCCATACTACCCATTACACTAGATGCACTTGTGGGAGGGGTGGGGAATGTGTGTGATCTTTCGAGAGCAGGACGACCAACATTTGGATGAGGAGCAAGGGAATGCTGTGGACCTGGAAGGGGAGCGCCAATTGAGTTAGCCATTGAGTGATGGTGATGTTGGTGTAATGAAGGCAAACCAGGTGCTTGTGGATTCCGCATTTGGTTTTGCTCATTCTTTCGACGTTCTGCGGCTGCCATTACTGCATTCGTTCGTGTCTGATTTGTTGGGTGGTATAGAAGAGCGCCAATATTGTGAACAAATAGAGGATACAATAATTCCGTAATCTTTTCCTTGTTTGCAAAATCCAATGCACGCTCAAAAGGAATCCTATTATATGGGTTAGATATGCACGTGCACCTAGACTATTAAATTTTGCTTACCAAACACCCTTTAAATGCATAGGACCAATTTTCACAACGTGTCTCATTTTTTCACTCTTCAGAATACCATCTCGTCGTCCACGAGTCATACCTGCAACATTCAATAATTTCGTGCCATTAATCATGTGATTATCTTGCCTAGTTAGCATCTTTTGTTTGAATTGAGAGGGCTAAGCTTACCTTCACGTCTAGCCACGCAGACACCTTTTGCCTCTACTTGAAAGCACAAACTACCCTCATCTTCCCAAAGGGTTGCTGTCACTCTGGGCTTCATTCCTGGTGGGGCAACTTGGCCAGTTTGGTCAAATTGTTGTGGTCCGCCATAACCTTGGCTCGGCATACCAGGTTGAGTGGTCATTGCTGGAAGTGGTAGAACGTTGCCTT